GATTCTGTTGCTTTTTTATTTCACACACTTTCGCTCTATTTTTATAATGTAAAACAAACTCATGAACTTTGGGTGCGCAGATTATTATTGGCCCCGTTCGCTTCGCTGAAAAAACAAGCCGAAACATTGTTCCGGCCAATTTGTTGTGAGAGAAAAACATTCTTTCGGCTGAAAAAACAAGCTGAAAAAGATGGATTATAAGATAAGCGAACAGGACCATTATTATAGATCTTGAATCTTCGTGATTGGGACTGGGACTGTGGCGTTGATACTATGCACAACTTCGTGACCAAATGTTCGTCGAGAAGATCGTGACTCTATTCGGTCTTATGAGCCATACTATTTCAACGAACAAATAGTGTTTTTCTCTCACAACAAATTAGTGAACAGTACTTTCAGTCATTGACTTTTCAGCAAAACAAACAGGACCTGTGTCTCTGAAATCTCGCGTTTCAGTTTCTTGCAGGTGTCTTCGAAGGCTTTGGACGAAACCCTACTTGACAAGAAGAGGGAAGAGATTGATATCGGGTCAATTTCTCTCAAAGGATCAAGAGAGTATGAACCAGAGGAAAACTTGGTGATTTGATGACGAACCTGTTTCTGTGGTTGTAGTTAGTTTGATCGATTTAGTTGCATGAGATGGCTCCCTGGTCAGTGTAAAATTTCTTTTGCTCTTGATTGTGTGTTAGTCTCCCCAGTCCAAACAGTTTTAGAGCCTGTGAAATTTTTAGCTTGCTTTTTCTACTCCCTCCATTCTAAATTCTGAGTCGTTCTAGCTTTCCTAAATATATAGTCTAAAACTATAACTAAATCGCCTTGTTTGCTTAAATTTATCAGCGCGGCTTATCAGTCATGGTACAGTATTTTTCTCTCACAACAAAACAACATCGGTCCGGCTTATCAGCCGAAAAAACATCAGCCAAACAGGGCCTTTATCGTGTATTTAGACATAATCTATCTCAGTCCATAGAGAAACAATGTACACCGATGCAGCAGTCAGACTGGCTTCATTCTCACAGCAGAGGACCACGGGGCACTTGAATACCACTGTTAGTAGAGCACTACTAATCAATGAGATCTCTTTTAATTCCTGTCGATCGAATATTAGTTAATTAGAGGTTACTGTGATCATCAGCAACGTAGGTGTGTTCTAGGATCAAGACTGTTGATTCCGTTAACTTTGTGATGCTCAAGTAGCAGCTAACGGCGAGTGGAGTGGTCTACTCCCTCCGTCCATAAAAATATGCCTTCCTCATTTCCGGAGAAATAACTTTGATTAATTTTATATAAAAAAATTAATATTTATGATACATAATTGATATATTTAGATAGATCTTTAAATCTAGTTTTTTAATAAATTTATTTGAAGATATAAATATTACACGTATTTTCTATAAATCTAATTAAAGTTGTGACATGGAAACACAAAACCACAAATAATAAGGGATTGAGGGAGTACGTGGTCTTGTGCAGCACATGCATCCCGTGTGGCAGTGTCTCATCAAGTCTGACGAAGGAACGTCATGTCTCTGCACATGCATTTTTCCTGCTACAATATGCTTTTTTTTTCTTTTTTTCTAGTCGTCGAAGAGTCCGTTCGACAGGACTGAAAAATAAGTCAAAATACTGTTCCGACTAATTGTTATGAGAGAAAAACATTGTCCTGTCTGAAAACACTGTTCACATGAGCAGTACAAGTGTGAGTGCGCTGGCCAGCCCAGCCCCAGCCGGCCAGCCAGCCGAACGCAGCCGAATTGGTCAGAAGCCCTGATTCAAATTTCAAACAAGAAGGTCGTGTGATTCTTGCACGGTACTCTACCTTGTCCAAAAATGCAGATGTCGTCCTCTTTTGCCTGGTCGCAGAAGGTTTGTTTGGTGAAGGTTTCTGCACCATCATGGATCACTAGTGGAGGGCGCGCACCCTCGCGCGCGAGAGCAAAGGATTCTAATCTATTTAATGGTGGGGACAATATCACGTAGCAACATCATAACGATCTGTAATATATGAGAGCTGTAATGCAGCAAGACGTTATAGTTTTCACAGTTGCAAGTAAAATGCAGCAAGCATAGGTACATATACATAATATTACGTCTAATTTGTTATGAGAGAAAAATACTATAGAGCTGATAAGCCAGCTGCTAAGTTCAAGCGAACAGGGCCATAACTGATATTAAGGTCAAACACATACATGACAACAAAAGCTGGCATTGCATGAACACCGTGTGATGTACAATAGTTGGTGCAGTGATGGTTGCCAAGTTTGCTGCATGGCAAAATTCCGTGGCTATACAAAAGCATCGTGGAGCGTTGGGTGGTAAGACTATACAATATTAGTAGGAAGTGGACTGTGGGCTCTGCCAGATTTGGACGTTATTGCGTTAACGATCAGTAGAGCTTCCAGAGCTATACAAAAGCGTCGCAAAGTGCTGGTAGAAATATTATACAAGGTTAGTAGCAAGGGGGTCGTGGCTTCCGTTGAACCTGGACATAGATGCAGGAATCATCATTAGAACTTCAAGCTGCGATCGGACTCCCAGCCATGTTCATCTTTGTCCGAGATGTCCACCGACGAATCTGTGCTAGTATCTGGGCAGAGAAAAACATGTTTTGTGACTTTGGGTTTAAGGATGCTTCATTTGTAGGAATGCAAGGAAACGGGAAGAAGGAATATCTGCATATATTGCAAGCACCGTGAATATGTGAAATTAAGCGATCTGTGTCAAAACTTCAGATTCAGATATGAATCTGTTAACCTTGGTGAGGCAGCAGGTTCCCAAGCTTGTACAACAACCAGTTTAACATGATTCTGGAGCATAATTATTTCAAAGAATAGTTGGCCAGCAACCCAAATGCGGAATGCAGGCTAATCATCCCCCTTTGAAGTATACGTATATTAAGTGTCTTACTGGTAGCAGTACAAATCTAACTTTGGACATTGTACCAAGGTAGATGGCTAAAAAAAATGGAGATCTCCAATTTTGTAAAGTGGGAATGTAGCAGATAATTTGGATATTATAGAGGAGACTTTAAAGATAGTACAGTGACTTCAGTCTTATTAGAACAAGGAGGTTGCTCTTGTTTTTTTTTTCGAAAGTGTATAATCTGAAGCACAAAAACAGTGATATAAACCGGAAATGTGGCTGTGTAAGATATATCTATGTCTAAATCAGGTACTTAAGAATTCCAACTCTTAGGAAACCAGATAGAACATTGAATAAACATATTTTTTAATGCTTTAGGCTTATAGAAAGAATGGCTGTTACTACAAAGTATCACTTGTTGAGGTGAAATCTGATTGGTCTAATACAGGTAGAGCACCAAACTTTAGGGCAATTAATATAGTAGGAAACATGAGCATGTCATTATATGAAAATACAGAGAGTAGCCTAAAAATTCACCGTAGGAAGACATGATCGCAGGGATTAGTTTAGCAAGAGTTTAGTAAGGAATAGTTTGTACAATAGGAAGGGATATAGCCTAGGAAAGGCAATTGTATCATAGTTTTGCATAACAGTGATCTATCCAAATCAACCGCTGAGTCCGCAAAAGATGGCGTAGAGCAAGCAACTACATTTTTTGTTTGTTGGTTGAAAACATATTCATTACTCTGGAGTAAGAGGCCAAAAAAGTAAATAATGATCCACTATCTCTGTTTTTTTTATTTCGCTTTGCTAAACAATTTCTCATATCAGAAACTGCTAACAGTATAGTAGTGTCGGGTTCATAAACCCGGGTCCCTCGGGGACCGGCTTCTACGCCAAGGCTCGACCCGAGAGTCAAAAAAAAAACAACAGGACAAAGGGGCGGTCTAGCAACTGACCGGAAGGCCTGGCCCAAGAAGAGCAACGCCCGCTCGTCAGCTACTTCGGCCCACCTATCCGACCGGAGAGCTCGATTCGGGCTCCAGCCGCCTCCGGACGGCCTCTCCGATCGAAAGGCCTACCTCGAGCCCTACTTCCGGCTCCGACCCCACGTCTCTCCGACCGGGGTATGTAAGAACCCTGCTCGCCGCTCTTCTCCGACTGGCGCAACCGAAGCCGACTGGGGCCATCCGACCCGGGACGCCCGCTCGGAAGGGACCAGGGACGAACGGAGAAGGCAGCACGCGAGTCAAACCATGGTACTGGGACCATACCCTGTACACCTACGGAAAAAGTGCTCCACAACCACCTGACACAAACAGTATTGTAGGCGCCGACATTTATCCCTACAGTATTGCAGGAGCCATTGGACTCCCGTACGGTAAAAAGCCCCGCACATGCCTCTGGGCATCAATAGTGTTGTAGGCGCTGGAATTCACCATGCCCGGTAAACGTGGTGAGGCTCTTCACGTGCCTCTGGGCAAGCAGTATTTTGCAGGTACCGACATCACCCCTTCCTGAAGAAGACAACACAACCTCCCACGTGCACCTGACATTCTACAGTGATATCAGCAGTGTTGTGGACGCCTACCATTATCCAATCCTCATCGGCGTGGGCAACAAGGCTTAAAAGCATCCGTACCCTCTCCCTCTCACCTGTAAAGCCACCCCCTTCATCTATAAAAGGGGATGCACTCCCTCCAACAGGAGGACCGATTCATTGAAGCTCAGTTCCTTTAGATTCATTAGTCCAATAGCTCACAACCACAAAACCGCCAGGTTCGAACCTCAAGCACACGTTTGAACACTTAGCTCATAGCAGAGTTCCCGTCGCTCTCGGCCCTTCGGACCGGAGCCGATCAGGCCTCTGGTACCCTCCATCTTTCTCCTTCTCATTTGTAACCCCACTGCACACTTCGAGCACCTGGACTCAGGAATAAAGTCACCAACCGATCCAAACTGGACGTAGGACACGTTGCCTGAACCAGTATAAATCCTGTGTCATCGAGTGTTAGGTCACCTCCGATCACAACGTACAACAAAACTATAAATATTCACTAGTTGGCCACTTTCTGTACCGACAAGTAGGATTGAGTATATCAATCCTCATAATCATGGGAACAGGCGCTCATAGGGCACTAACCTAGAACATGCAACGAACCCATTGACATCGTAATGATAAAAACCAGGGGAATCCGATGAGAAAAAAAAAGAGAAAATCAATAGGAAAAAGTATATGTTAATGATGGGTTCGTGTCATTCTTAAGGTTTTACTGGGTTCGTACTTGTTTACTTTATGGTCATCACCTAAATGAACTGTATAGATGACGTACCTCGTGGCCGGGAGGTTGCCTCGTCGTCGTAACCTGTTGACCAAAAGAACTATGTTAGTATGTATTATGCTGTTGTTCGCCCTTTTGTTGGTTTGAAATAGCGTTTCCTTACCTGCGTAGGCGTAGTATTGCTCGCGGACTTCCTCTCGGTGCGCGGTACCCAGATCTGATGATCCTGTTAATGTTTGGAGAAAAATTGTTAGAAGTATTTTTTTCCTCTTCCTAGCAGTGCTGTAACTTTAAAAATGTTTACCTCGGCGTTGAGATGCTCTTTCTTCTGGCGGGGACATTCTCCCAAGCATTTCTTCTGTGTATGTTTCGTACCATAGCGGCAAAATGTTTAGGAGATCACCATGCTGAGTTGTTTTCTTGGCACCTATGTGTGCTATGCTGGGGACAAGCATATCTTGTCCATAGACGGAGACCCAGTACATTAATGTTGCGGCTGTAAATGTTATGTTTCGGATGGTGCAAATTCCCTTCAAGAGATGGTGTATTGCTAGTTCACAGCATAGATGTGGGGGCAGTCCAGAGATCTCAATGCTGAGGCGTTCACTGGGAGACAGGATAGTTGATCCGGTAAGTATGATCGTTGATGGGATCGGAGCTGACCTGAGTGTGCAGAGGCACCGTTGTGGAACCGTAGCCTGGGGTCCATGGCATGAGTGTCAGTGTGTAGATGGAAACATTAGCGAAGCCTCTGACAAGCATGCGGGCACTTGCATCCGATGAGTGTGCTCGTATGAAGTAGTCAACACCATACTTTGATATATGTTGTACGTCGATGTCCACCTGGAATTATTGTTGGATTGCTGGCATCTCTTATGCTTTGATGGCCTACTGCATCTGTGGCTGGCAATGGAACTTTTGCTATTACTGCATTGCTGAAGAAATTTGGGTTGGCGTCGTGGAGGTCTGATTCGTTGATTATTGTCAGATTTGGGTAGCGGTAGTTGGCCATCTCCTTGAGCGTGTCCTGTATTTTTTTTCATTTGCATAAAAGGATTAGTATTTGTTGCAAGTAAGGCGATGCATAAATATGATCACGCTAACATTCAGGAATTTGTTGCTACTACGGATTCGGGAAAGGAATCATTCATGGCTTGGATCTAAACGCTCAGTACTTTTATTTGTGCAAAAGCAATTCTGTCTGTAGCAACCCGTTTTCTTGGTTGAAATTGGCTGGAAAACACTGTTCTGGCTGAATTGTTATGAGAAAAAACACTGTTCCGACTAAAAAAAGAAGCCAAATAAGCCGGATTATAAGGTAAGCCGAACGGGGCCACCCGATTAGTAGTTGTAAAATAGGAGCTGCGTTGATGCTTTGGGTTTCAGATTGGAGGCTGTCAGTATTATCAGTGGGAGGATGAAAGGAGGACATTGAAGTGCAGACACTTATAGCCCCTGCTCTACTACAGGCAGTTCCCCTGTAGGCAGTGGCACCACCTGGTGGTTTTCCTACTGCAGCTCCTCTGGCCATCATCTAGGAAGGTTCCCAGACTGCTGGAGTTGCACAAGTGAAGAATAGGATTGACAATAGGGTTCTACAGCAGCTTAGGTGGATTGAGAAGATGATCTATGTTTGCATATTTCTTGCTTTGTATGCTATTTTGAAGAAGTAGATGTTTATGTGTGCGTGAGTAGTCATGGATGAATGGATGTATGGATGGATGGATGGATGGATGGATGGATGGATGAATGTTGAATGATGAATATGAAGTGTTCATTTGTTAAGAATGCAACAACATATGAGAACAAGATAACAACAATTAGAGTACTGCAATAGTAACATAAACATTCATCACATAACAGCAGCTACCTTACTATTTTTCATCACAAAGGTTTTATAGCACCAACATTCATCACATAGTAGCTAAGTTATTGGTTTTCATCTACAGCTAAGTACTGTCATGCCATCACAGAACATTCATCACAGAGCAAAAGAACCACATCACCAAAAGAACATTGAGCAGGCACCTTTCACTGTAGCTGGAGCTTCTTCTTACTTCTGGTATTTGAAGCAGGGTTGGCTGGGCTGGATGGGCTGGCTGCTGCAACTTGGAGCTTCTTTGGCGTAAGCTTCTTCTTGATCCCTATCTTTCTCCGTAGTGAAGCCTGGGGTAGCACAGTTTCCAGTGGCTCTGTCTCTATTGTAATGGAGTCTTCATAGGGGCCAGATGACAGTTTGGATTAGAACAGGGTCATTGGAATCAGTTCCAGACTTTGTGGCAAAAAGGCAGAGTGCGCTTTAGCATTAGCAGAGTGCACTTTAGCATTAGCAATCATAATTGAAGAGCTGGTAAACATACATGTTGGACACATTGTTTGAACCTGAGCTTGAAGTAGTAGTGGTAGCTACCCCTTGCTCTTCTTGGCACCAGAAGAAGAAGATTTCCTCTTCCTTTTCTTGTGTGTAGCATTGACCACTGTCTCATTATGTGGGAACACCATCTGGGATGGAGTAACAACCACAATGCTAGCCTCTGTGTTATAGCTTGCTTTTTTTAGCCTTTTCTTTGGAATACCACTGCATAGAAAAAGTTACATTAGTTAACTAAGTTATTGAAGCTGTATATATATCTGCAAAGTAATTTAGTTACATAGTTTACCTTTCAGCCTCCATTGCAGCTATATCTTCTGGATTCTTATTCTTACAAGTGTACCAGTGATGTCCTAACTCATGGCAGATGGGGCACTCATATTTCTTTGTCCTCTTCTTGATGCTGCCTCCCTCAAGTGATCCCCTGCCAAACTCTACAGGAACATGTTTTGTTAGATAGGCTGACCATAAACCTGAAGCCACTACCTCCCTTAGCATATAGTTCTGCCACACCATCAGGGGAGGCTGTGATCACTTTAATGTCCAGGATGTAACTGTCTTCCCTTAGCTTCTGTAGGATGTGAGGCAGAATCTTTTCCTCCAACTTCTTGGCTACCTTCTTCCTATGGTTCCATTTGATCAAAATCTTCTATCTTATAATGTCCAGCAAGTCATCCAGGTGTTTTACCTTCTCAGGCTTGATCCAATTATTGAATGACTCAGCCAAATTATTAGTCACATAATCAACCTTTGACAATATCCTGTACTGGCTCCTAGTCCAAAGTTTCTTGTGAGTTTCTTGTAAATACTTCATTGTCTCAGGTTTGGCTGCAACCATTGCTTGATAGTGCTTCTCAGACATGTAAGGGCTCCATGAATATGAAGAAGACCACAAGTGATCATCAAATACCTTCCCACTGAACCTCTTCTTGAAAATTTTGTACTAAGTGATACATACACTCTCTATGTTCAGCATTTGGAAAAACTTCACTAACCCCACTCATGACTGCCTGGCCACAATCTGTGCAGAATGTCAAGCCCTCTGGGGTGCCTATTGCTTCCTTCAACCTCTCCATGAACCACACCCAATTCTCATTGGTTTCTGAATCAATTACACCAACAGCTACTGGATACATCCAGTTGTGCCCATCTACTGCATAAGCAATTCACAACTGTCCCCTAAACCTTCCTGTTAAAAATGTGTTATCTACTACAAGATGTGGTCTACAGCGTCAAAGAAATCCATCAACACATGGTTCAGTGCAAAGAATAGCCTATTGAACCTGATCTTAGTGTTGATTGTGTGATTATCACTGACAAGAAATGATCCAAGACTTGATTCTTCTAACTAGGCCTTAAGCCTATACAGGTTATCAAAACTTTGGCTCCAAGGCCCATAAATCCTATCAATGGTAAGATTTTTACCTTTATACACTCTCTTGTAGGGCACCACAAATTTTGTGTGCATCCTTCAACCTCCTTTACAGTTCTGTTGCACCTAGAGTTCCATCTTCCTTCAGGCAATCAATCACCTAACTGCACACCCAGAACTGTGTTACCCATACACAGATTCCTTGCCTCCTAGTGCTCTGACACTCATGAGGGTAGGGGTTCCTTTTCACCTGCAAAACAGTCAAGTAATGCACTTATTACAAGCCACACAATGCAAGAAAAACAGGGAGCAGTCAGTGAAAACAATGTACTAACACATTACCTTAATAGTGTGCCCATCCCTTAGAGTTGAGGCATAAAGTCTCCACCTGTAGCCCTCACTCTGCTGTCAGCAGTTCACCCTATACCTCCTTGTATCACTCTTCTTAATGTCATAGTTGAACTCATGTTTAACAGCATGAGTAGCTAAAGCAATCTTAAAAGCATCCATGTCTAAATACACTGTTCCTACTGACATAGAAGGGTCCTTCTTGTCATAATCAACATCAGGCATATGTTCAGGCTCTCTATCTTTAACCATATCATCTATGTCTTCTACTTCATCAAGAGAGGATTTAGGATTCATCAACACCAGAACTCTCACCTTCTCATTCTTTACTCCCACCTTGGCTCTGAGGATTGGGAGGAGGTGGGGGTATTGGGGACCAAGGTCAATATACAACCCTTCCTCATCAACACCTACATGCTCATTCATTGGGTTTGGGTTAGCCAGGAATTCATGTTCAGCAGATTGAGTGTGTGTGGCATGGCTTGGTTCTGCTAAGCTTTGACAAACAATTGAAGGGGTGAATGGGGGTTCAATAGAGTTCACAGTGCTACCAGAATCCCAATCAAGAATCACAGAGGCTCACTACTTGGGCTATGATATGCAACAGTCAACAAGCAGCATTTGAAAGCCTTATATTTTGCAAATATTTCAACCAAATCTTGGCCAGTGCAGACTTGGATGTTCACTTTACTATCCATGCAGAAATAAAACAATTTCACTATGTCACCGTAGTTATGAGGATACTTGTCGACAACTTCAGCAACCAGGTATGTGAAGTTAGTGCGGTCAGCATCCACGACTTTGTTCAACGAAAACCACCGCGCACGAGAACTGGGAGCAACAATCCGGATTTCTAAGTTGTAGCTACTTTCTGCGTCCATGCTACATATGAACAAGGAGCACGCAATCAACACTACAAACAAGGGGCACAAATGCAGGGCACTAAATACTAATCAATAGTACAAACACGGGGCACCACCAAACCAAGGGGGGAAGCAGTGAACTCACTCGTCCGGAAGCCAATCCGATCGCTCACCACGTCCTTGTTCCCCGCCATGCCATGACTATCCTCTGGATCCACGGTCGAATCCACGCTCCACTACCCCCATGCGCCGCCACAAGCATGGGAGATTTGTCGTCTTCTCTCCCAGCCGCCGCTACAGCCTCTGCCGCTGGATCCGTCGCCGCTAGGGTTTTTCCACCGCTAGGGTTAGGGAACTGAGGGAGTCAAGCAAGAAGAGAGAGTGAGAGACTGAGGGAGATATCGGTCAATATCGGTCAACACAGCCTTCACATATGCCCGTGATTGAAAGGGCAACATGGATATTTTTTCTGCCCGGTCCCACATGTAAGAGCTGCCAAACGGTCAAAACCAAATAGAATGGAGACAGAATGACGTGTTGGACAAAAGAGTTTAGCGTCATAACACCAGGGTCCGTGTAAACTTTTTGATGAATAGAACATCTTTTATAATGACACACAGGGAAAAGTCTCTTGTTTCTGGGGAGAAGGCAGAGGGAGGCGATTATGAATGAAGGTAGAAGCGAGGCAAAAACGATTATTACCGAAGGAATCAGCGAGGAGTTAAACAGTAAAGCCAGAATCCGATTTGCCTAGAATCATGCGGGGACGACAACTGGAGCCGTCGGTGGTCCAGATTCAACGAACGAAAACTTTTTGGGAGATGTGGACACAGTTTCCCGGTTAGAACCCCCAAGATCTGTAGAGTTAAAAAAAACTTCCACTACGATATTACTCTGTTCTGCTATAATTTCACTTATAACTAATGGAGAGGTATATAATATAAGTAGGGTGAATCTTTCTTTATAATAGGAAAAAGCTAGAAATGCTTAAAAAACGAAAAAAAGCTAGAAAAGTTAGTACTGCATAGTTTCGACCATTCTTAGACAATGTGGTGTGTTACCAGGGTCAATTGAAGCTTTTCGACCATAGATTTACTTCGCTCTCAATCCCCAAAAATATATTCTTTCTTTTTGAGAATTCAAACATTATCGAATAAATACTATTAAATCAATCATGAACAATTTTTACGGTAAAAATCTATTATAAGATATAAATGTTGATACTGTTTTTTATTAATTAAGTCAACTTTAAAGAACTTTGACTTGGTTCAAAATTAGAAGTGTAATGAGAGTACTCCATCCGTCCTAAAATAAATACACATCTTGCTTCCTGAGAAATCAAGCTTTTAAAAATTTGCACAAATCTGTATAAAAATATACTAATACCTATAATGTATAATAAGTATCATTGGATTGAATACGGAGCATATTGTTTTTAAAAAAACTTTATATAGCTTGTGAGTCGTACCTTCGCCGGTGCTACCGTGGTAGCCTGCACCCGTAGGCTTGGTCCATAGAAGCATCCGAGGGAGGAGAGTTTTCCAGCAGGAAGTAGCCATGACAAGTGGGGTCGAACAGTTCATGGTCCGCACGTCAGTGAATCCCGAGGTGCAGGTTGTGAGTCCTTTTCCAACGCCCCACTTCGGGAAAAAGCTCGCCTTTACTGCTGCCGCTTGGCGGCTTGGACCGGGAAATAAGGCCATATTTACCGAGTGTCACGTCGAATCTTATGGTATATGCATGAAGTACTAAATGTAGATAAAAAAAACTAATTGTATAGTTGGATGAGAAATCGCGAGACGAAAGTTTCGAACCTAATTAATCCATAATTTTGCCAAGTAAACGCGCCCTAAATACGCTCCGTTAAAAAAAGCTTCTCCCAGCCAGTCGGCGCGGCGCACGTGGGTCCAGGCAGTCAAAGGGCCCACGAGAAAGCGGCACGGACGGCGGAACCGCGCCAGGATGGAAGGACCGGACGAAGGCAGGCTGTAGCTGGTGGCTGGTGCGGCTGGCGGCTGTTGCTGCCTTGCGGGTGGGTTTCGGCGTGCCGCCCGCTGCGTTTCGAGCTGTGATGGCGGAAAAAGGAGGGGCAGCGCAAATTGGCCGGTGCGGTTGTTGTGGTGCCCACATACGTACATCCGAGTGATTGGATAAACTGGATTGGACTTTGGTTATCTGGATGAGAGGGAGAGTGGCGCTTTGCCGCACTGCCGCTCGCATCCTTGGTGTGGTTCGTCATCTTTGACGGCTCCAACAGGACCCCAGGGCCCGTGGCGGCTCGTCATCTTTTATTCCCACGCGGCCACTCCCCGTCGTGTACTACTCGAGTGCGACACCAAACGCACACTGGCAGCATATGCGTACACGTACGTATCGCTGCAGTTCGCTTGTACTGAATCTATCGCTGCAGTTCGCTTGTACTGAATCCATCCCAAATTTAATTGTAAGACGTTTGACTTTTTTAACATCAAGTTTGACCACTCGTCTTATTCAAAATTTTGTATAAATTATCACTTCTTTCGTCGTGGTTTGGTTTATTAATAAAAAATTTTTAAAATAACTTAAATTTGACTATATTTGCATAAATTTTTTAAATAAGACGAGTGATCAAACTTGGAGTCAAAAAAGTCAAACGTCTTACAATTTGAGATGGAGGGAGTACCGTTTATCAATAATGAAAATATTTTTTTTCACAATAAATCAACATCAGCCGGCTTATCAACGGCAGAAACCTTCAGCAAAACAGCCACAGAAATCATTATTTTCAAAAGGAAAAAAACCAGGAGCATTACGTTATTTACAGCGGCACGGCACATGACATCAGACCTCTATTCAGGGGAAGTACCTGACCGCCAATACCAATGCGAAAGAGTCGTTACGTTATCTAGTGTCCTCATCAGCCATGTACACGCGCCATTTGATAGAGAACAAATGCTACTGAAATGGCACATGATGCAGGAGCGGATTCAGTATCCGAATCAATACGAGGATCTTCGTTCTTCATGACGCAGCACTGCAGCAGCCAGCAGCAATGGTGGTTGGCACTCGCAGCAATGCGAATCGGTCCTCTTATTTCTGATATCAAGCATTTGAATTTGGCCAGAGTGTAGTTCCTCAGGATGAAGAGGAGCCCTTGTCAGCTACAGGCTGGAAGAGCGCCCCTCCCGCCCCATAGTAATCCGATAACCAGCCAGATATGATCTTCAGCTCTGATTCTCTCAGAGCCACCAGCCAATCTGGGTCATCTGGAGTGGCGGGGCGCAGATCGATATGATGTGCTCCTGCGTGCGAGCCAAACTCAAACTTTTAAAAAAAAAATTAACTACAACTATTTCGGTACGGCTCAAGCTCAACATTTGCCTCACAAAAAACATGGCCGGTTATGGCATATACTCCCTCAATAAAAAACAATTTTAAATCTAACTAAACCTATAAAAAGTACAAATATTTATGATACCGAATAATTATCATTACATTAATTATGGAGTACATTTTCATAGTAAACATATTAGGATACTTAAGAAAACTTGACTTGTTCCAAACCTATGATTGCATTCTTTTAGGACAGAAGAAATAAATATTTACACCATATAAAATTCAAGCGTAACAAAATGTAGTATATTGAAGGATACACTAGTTTACTCTACGAAGGGCGGGCCTGGTGCAAGCGGTAGAGTCTTACCGCCTATGACCGGAAGGTCCCGGGTTCGAGTCACGGTCTCCTCGCATTGCACAGGCGAGGGTAAGGCTTGCCATTGACACCCTTCCCCAGACCCCGCACAGAGCGGGAGTTCTCTGCACTGGGTACGCCCTTTTTACACTAGTTTACTCTACAATCAATTTACTCTTTATTTTCATGATAAAAAGGGTGGAGTTGAGCACCCAAGAGTACTCATTATCTATTCAGACTTAGTCTTTATGTTTTTCTATGCACTACCTACTAAGTTCTAAAATTATACTAGGAAAAACTATCAGATTGCATAAGTATGGACTTAAGGTAGACATAATGGGGACTGAAAATGGACACTATCGGGATTGCACAAACAAGTACTACGGTATAATGGAGACAGCACAGTACCTAATGGAGCCACAATAGCAATGACACTCTCAGATATATTCTTCAGGACACTGCATTGTTCATATGGAAGCAAAATCAAGTCAAGGCAATGAAATGGCTGAGATCAGATAAATTAGAAGACAAAAAGTGATGTTTGTTCACCCTCCACCACTCCATGGGTCAAGAAGTCCATTGAAGAAAATGATGTTACTACCAAACTTTTCCAGGACCTTAGTGATATTCTGGAAGGAAAAAAATAATCAATTAGACAAAGTCACTCAACTCTCCAACAAATTATGTTCAGCCAAAATAATAAAATAACTCAGCAGGCATTTGCACAGCAGAACCAGGGTAGCAAAATTATAGCAATATCATAGCATGTCTGTAAGGTTCATGTGTACAGCTCAACTCAAAAGCCACAGGAGGTGAATTAAATAAGGTAAAAAGAGGTAGTGTGTATTGTATGCTAAATCAGGCACTTAAACTAAATATTCCAGTGTTTCAAGGAACCAAAGGTGTATCCTGGCCAAGACAAAGAACATCATAGTAAGGGACTAAAATATGTACGCTGAAGATATTATAGTATTTGTCCCAGTCTAGATTTTGATGTCTTGGGCAATAGGGTAAACATCACTAACATGTTATCATCTAAACAAGATTCATATATATATTTTTCATTCGAAAAAGACCTGTTATTAAAGAAACTAGATGGGAAGGTGATCAAAAGGATCCATTTGCTCGACGATAATATTGCAATTACTGAACACGACAATAGCTTACATGCCCACCAAACTCTGTTGTGATCCACCGAGGCCTTGGCCTGACACCATAGCTTTTGATGCAATCCTCAGCATAGGAAGGATAGTCAAATTTATACGGTGGATACATGCTCCTGCCTTCACTGTAAGACATTGGCATTACCATCTCGGTACAAGCCTGTGTTAACCAAGAATGAACCATAAGCCACACAATATAGTAGCTCACCCTATCAAAGAAAACCAATTAATAGAAGCATATATAACAACTGTCGTTTCAGGACCTGCCAATCCCATCCACCCATTCCATGGGGATCATCAGTTAGATCAAAGCAGCCAACAGTGCCAGTATAATTGTAGTATACATTTACTCCTGCATATATTCGTTCCAGAGTACTAGTACCCTCAGGTTGACTGTCAATATTTATGCATACCTGAAACAGAGAAAGTGTAATCTAGTAAGTAGTGACAGAATTAACAAAATACAACATGATAATTACAGAGTGTAAGCGGCAGCTCACAGCAAGAACAGGGTTATCATGATTCATATGTTAACTTGTTGTGATTATTGGCCTATTGGGACAAAATGCTATAAACAGTGCTAGCTTGTTTTGAACAGAAGCATATGCAGACATGTGCAATACAATATATGACAATTGATGTTTAAGAACTAACTTCTTTAATAGGATTGGCTGGCAAAGGCATGAGAAATTCTGATGGAATTGGGTAATCCACCATGGCCAGATAACTGTAGGCTGAGCTCAACCAATCTGAAAGGTCTCCACTTGTTTTCAGGGTCCTGACAAAATTTTGTACTTAAACTATTATTAACAAGAGCTCAGTGTAAAAAACAAAAGTGAATAGTTTAGGGAGATGACTCACTGGCAAAGGTGGAACGTTTTGCTTAGTTTCAGAAGACCATCTTGCTCGTTTCCTTGGTCATCTAATTCTTTCCAGGAGTCTTTAATTGTAAGAAAGCAGCTTAAACTCTCCCTCTAAACACAAACAAAGCGACAAAAAATAGTGTCAGATTAGTCAAATGGTTGATAAAGAAAAGTAGAAACAACCAAGGATAGTAAAATACACACCCTAAAATCATCCGATACAAGATCATAGAATATAGTAGAAGGAACAATGTCCTCAAACTGCAGGATCGGAGCTGATGATGCGAGAGCCCCAATAGCAATATGGGGATATTTGAGTCTCATCCAAGCAGCTAGCACTGCCCCAATCAATGACATTAGTAGTAGCACATAATTCAAATTTCAATCACAATGAGTGCTAAGCCACTATCATATCAGAATCAGGAAAATAAAATTGAAGTGAAGGGTTGGCATTGAAATAATCGAGTCGAAGACGGCTCTTACTTCCACCGTATGAGCCCCCAAAGAGCACAACGGGGCTGCCCTCTGCAGTTAGGTTCCTCTTGAGGTCAGTGAGCAGCACAGCGAAATCAGCAAGCGCCTGCTCGGCCGTGAGATACGCCAGGGACTTGGAGTCGTTGTACGCCTTGGCTTTGCTACCGAACGGCATGGACTCTCCGTAGTAGCGATGCTGCAGCACACAGGCGAAGGACCACCGCTCGCACCATAAATAATACAGCGTTTCAAACGTAAAGTAAAATCGAAGAAGAGACACGAATACGAGACGAGAGAGGCCGCGGATGAACGATTGCCTCGGCGAAGACGATGAGGGCGGCGAAGCGCGGGGCGGCCTCCCAGACGAGGCCGGAGTTGGCGGCGAACCAGGCGATGTCGCCCTCGTTGCCGCAGTAGAAGAAGATGGGGCCGCCGGGTCCGGCCCACCCACCGCCGCGGCCCACCAGGTACCGCTGCTGGAAGAACGCCGCCGCCTCGTCCTCGTCCCCGACCCCGGGAAAGCTGAAGTGGTCCAGCCGCTGCCGGAAGTATCGCGTCTCGTACTCGTAGTCCCCCACCCCATTAACTCCCGGCCGCGAGCGGGGTTGGGGCCTCGGGAAGCGGGGCGGTGCCAGGGACCACACGGCCGCGGGGAGGAGGCCGACGAGGAGGAGGAAGAGGAATCGGCGGAGCGGATGCATCATCGAGGTGAGGTGCTGGCTGTGCAAAGTGGAGTTCTTCGTCGGAGTGGGGGACCGGTGGAGGCTGCGAGAAACTGGGGGCGCTTCTGACGTGGTGCGTGACGTGTATGCCTCCTGTGGTTTCTGCGCGGGCCCTCGCACGAGGCACGCTCGCTCTCGCCGTCGCCGCGCACGTGAACATGATTTGTGCTTGCATGCACGATGCACGGGCCGTCGTGTTATTTGGGCCCAGCACGGACACGGGTTGCGATATTGCTCATTTGCTCCAATCAGCAATCAGCATAAACTCAAAGTCGCTGACAATACGTTTGGATCCATAATTTTAGGAGCTCACATAAACATATTATTTGACTAATAAAAAATATTTGTATTATGTAGGGTATTATATAGGATCATCTAAATTTAGACAGGAAAGTTAGAAATGGCACAAGTAAGCAATTCAAGTTAGTAGAATTTCACCAGAGGAGGTACGCGGTTTGCACCAACAACAACAGTGCTACCCTGACGGACATTGGAAACCAGGAGCATCTCTCCGACCTTTCTAAATCTTACTCTCTAAATCATCATTTAGAGAGTCATTTGTATAAAAATTATTTTTATATTTTTTATTCTCCAACAGTTTTTCTATATCTCATGCGCACTCTAGAGAGTCATTCTCGTCTTCTATTTCTGGCTAACGAAAAATCTAGAATAAAAAATGGCTATATTTGAATAACCATTTAGATAAGCTGTTAGAATGTAGTTTTTCACCAAAATCTCTATTCCTACCATTTAGAAAGGAAATGGAGAATCTCCCTTTTTTAGAATTATACAGTACAATGTAGATGTCCACAACACGCACGCACACTCACTCCTATGAATACACGTATATAAACCCTACCCCTATGAGCACATTCGAAAAGACTGAGAGATGCTCTAAGCCTATCAAACAATTTTCTATGATTTATGGATTTTTTTTAAAAAAAAGTTAATTTCAAACTAAACAAATGCGTACAAATCATCATTTACCTATAACATACAACAAACACTTTATAAGTCCATATATTTTATCATCTGAAGGAACAGTGTGAATCTATCAAATTAATCTCATATAATTTTTTTTCCTACAAATTTCACAAAGATATGCATGTGTGTTGTTAACTTGTACTACTATTTGTCACGTCATGAAACCTCGGCATGGGGTTCGGGTGATGATGATGTAGCTAGACTAATCATTATTAATAGGCTGCACACTGAGCCTTGGCCCAATGGTTATGTTGGCGTTAATGTGAAACACCTAGGTAGTGTTTGGTTGGATCTTTTGTAACGGTATCCGATTACAACGGCAGTTGATAACGTTAGATTGTGTTTGTTTTAACTCCACAGGAAACACATCACGCCGTAAACCGATACAAGCTAAAAATCTGATACCGTCCAAACCCGAGCGTAATCTGTTCGTCCGGTCCGTCTCCCCCTCGAGGCTTTGGCATCTTCATCCGGTTCGTGCCCAACGTTGGCGCCGCGCCCCCGCCCATCCCCACTACCTCTTCTCTTCACGTCCTAACGTGGCTTCACCCATCCGTGCCCAACACCGACGCCGCGCCACCGCCCTTCCTTTCTGCCTCTTCTCTTCACGTCCTAGCATGACTCCACCCATTCGTGCCCAACGTCGGCGCCGCGCCACCGCCCTTCCTCTCTGCCTTCTCCAATGTAGCTGTTGCTATTATGATTTATCCGACCACTCTAATATGTCACTTCGAAGTCTATTGTTATTCTAACTCTATCAGTTAAAACCGACCACCATTCCTTCTCGGGTTTTCAGAGCAGGCCCTGCTCCGGTTCCCCCAACGCGTGCATGGGATCCGCTCTCTACGCTACGGGTGATCGGCAGATGCTCTCTGGTTTGACTTGTGTGTTTCTACGTGTGCACAAGCTACGCACCTCACACTCCGACCGCAAGTCAAACTAGGGCTGTACAAACCTTTCAGGATGACGTGTCGACTAAACCGGTACAACTAAACAGAACGCCAATACGTTCTAACTTAGTTACACCAACATGATATCCGAGCTTAAACACGTTTTCTACAAAACAAACAAGCTTATATTGATATACAGTTACGTTATTACAAGCTTGCCTGAAAAGGTCCAAGTTTACAATAACCCAACTACATCTTCTTCTACAGCTATAGCCTACACTATTGGCTGGTCGGGGCACGCGGCGTCTGCTGCTCGCTGGGCCTGACATCGTGCTTGGGTCTCGGGGACTCTGGCATTGATCGAGCTGAAGAAGATGGCCCCGCCGATGCCTGGCTGGTCGAGACCGCAGGCTTCGCCGGTTGGCTTGAAGATGACGGCGCTCCCAGCTGACTTGTTGACGACGTTCCTTGTACGGGTGGTGTCGCACCTCCACACAAATTAATATCGCCAATTATTTTCGCCGACAAGTCCAGCTGGGTCACCCGTAGCTCCTCGGCCTTGTCTAGATCTACCTTCTTCGGGTATCCAGTCTCCAGGCGCTTGAGATCGATCAGGGGGAAATAAGCACGTACCATGCTTAGCACATGTGCGCCTGTGTACTCTCCCGCCTCCTTCACGAACTCCTGGAACCATCCCCATGCCCTTTGGCATCTCTCGATCAATCCCAGCTGCGGCGTCCTTGGCACATCTTCTGCTAGCGCTGGATCGATGAGGTTAAGGACCGGCAAAATGCCCTTTGCCACCTCCTGGCACCGGTTTTTCCAGGTGTCACGGTCCTTGATGATCTCTTGGCATTGCGCCTTCTAGCCGTCACGGTCTTTCATCATGGCCTTCAGATGCTTCTTTGCATTGAATTTTATAACTACAAACCGCACACGCTGTTAAGACGCTAGACCACGCCAAACTACGGTAGGCAACAAAAATGAGCAAAGGCGGTTGGACAACTTACCTTTCAGCTTCTCTGTCATCTTGGTCGTATGGTCCCGGAGCTGCGACTGGTCTTGCGCACCAGTTTTCTGTTGTCCTTGTTTAGGCGATCACACTCCCCGACCACGCGACTGTTCTCCTCTCAGAGACGGATCACTTCAGCTTCTAAGCCTGCACTACAACTGTTACTACCAACAACGCAACATCACTTGTCAGTAGTCGGTATGATAAAATAGCTACTTACTTGTTCTGTCGGTGTTTCGGACCGAGGGTCCTCAACCAGCTAGTGAATTTGAACTGCGTGCCCCTAATCCCGGATGGTGATACAAAGAGACATAAGGTTTATACTGGTTCAGGCAATCGGTGCCCTACGTCTAGTCTGAGAGATCGATCTTGTATTCCTTGCACCGAAGTGTTTGTAGTAGAGGGTTACAAGCTGGGTGAGAGAGAGAGCTAGTCCTAGGTCTCTGCGTGGAGCGGTGCGGGCTGCTTGAGACGTTGCTCTCAGGCAGCGGGAAGCATGTGTCTGGATCTACGTGAGTCTATACGAGTGCTCGTCTATCTTTTTTCCCCGTCTAGATGATGAGGACATCGTCAAGATGGAGTCGAGGACGACTCCAATTCGAGAAGGGGAGGATGATGAGGACACATTGCTAAAAATAATGGGATTAAGTTAAAAGGAGGTGCTTTTCTTGCTACAATTTCTGCTACTGCTGAGTTATATGATAATCCTGATGCACCATGTTATACTATGTTTTGTCAACCTTTTATGTCTGGTGCATTGCCTGCTGTCACTAACCTTTTACAGGAGTTCACTGATGATGGGATGGAGTCGAGGACGACTCCAATTCTAGAAGGAGGGGATGATGAGGACATCGCCAAGATGGAGTCGAGGACGACTCCAATTCGAGAAGGGGAGGATGATGAGGACATCGCCATGCTGGACACACTGACGCCATGGTCTTCCCCAAGTTGCAATTCGTTCCCAACTCAGCTGCCACGTCGCCCTCGGATTCAGCAGATACGTCATCCTTTGTTTTCGATCATAACTTTCTCATACGACATCGAAGCGGGCCGTTCTTGGATGCGTTGGAAAGGGACGACGACGCCGTCATTTTGGATCTGGTCCCAGCTCCAGAAGGTCCGTGGATCATTCTGTGTGACCACGGCAAGGTGCTGCGTCACCTATTTGGGCCAACTTGGCCATGTATCGTGTCGGGCCTTAAGCCCAAGTTGGGCGCCCAACCCCTGGCCGTCCCCAACCCTAGGTCGAATCTTAGACTATAAACACAGCCGTCGCCGCTGCTACACAATTGGGTTTTGTTTAGAGTTTAGTTTTCCATCGAGAAACCGAATCGTTCATTGTAGCTGTGGTGACAAATCCTTTTACAAAGTGATCCGGGGCCTCCGTTCTTGATCTCCTCCCTTCGTGTCGATTAGTCCTTTGGACCCGAGTTCTAGAACCCTCTATTGATATTCGCGTCATTCATATTTGCAATATCAAATTGCGTGTTTTACCTTCTTGCTTGTGCTCTTCGATTCGCTTGTAGGAAAAGCCTTCTTAGCGAGGTCAATCAAGTTGTGCTTGGTTGATAACCAATGGAGCAGTGGTGTAACGGTTGCAGGGTTCGAATCGCGTCTGATTTGAAGCTAGATCGCCAACGTCGAGATCTCCACAGATCGAACTTACCGGCTACCTCTCGGAAGATCGGGCCTGTACTCATCACTAGAAGCGACCCCGGCCTCTCCTTTTATAGTTGAAGGGGGGACAGGGGCAATACATGCGTTTACTATGCAGCGTCTTGTAAGCGGAGGTGGCGTGTCTGAGTCCTGTAGCTTGCTACTGTGGTGGCATGGCCAACGGAGTGGTCTTGTCCTTGATGCACTAGAGCAACGCGCTGGTCACACCCGATCTTGTGCGACGTGGGAGCTCCAGCGATAGCTTGGCGCAGGGCATGGTCGACGACGTGCTGGTCGCTGTACGTTCACAGTGTAAAAAGCCGAGGCTCGGTTGGTGCCGAGGCCGAGCCATCGTGGGGGGCTCGGCGGGCGCAAATCCCGAGGGTGCCGAGACCCTGAAGTGGATTACCGAGGCTTGGTGGGAGCAGTCGGTCCTATAC